GTTACAATTACATTAGGTCATTTTCCCATTTAGAGAAATGTTTCAAAAAAATGTGACTTTTTCTTTTCAAGCCTTTAAGACAAAACAAAAGTTTTTAGACTTAGAAAAAATTCAAAAAAAAAAACCAAAAAAAACCCACCTACAAACCACCCAAAACCAAACCCAAACAAACTAAAGAAATTAATAAAAGAGATACATGATCAAAAATGACCCAGCTCAGAGCCTTGAGTGGTGATGTCTCATGAAGCTGATTGCACTAACACCACACTAATATGGACCTCAATAAAGACCATTTCCTGTTTTCCAGAGAAAGAGATATTTCACCATAACCTCCTAGGCAATTATGGTAAAATATTTATAAATTTCTCTGACACAAAACAAAACATTTGGATTGCTGTGCTTTGCTTGGGTTTTGTTTTGCTTAAATGAGGCCCTTGCTGTGCCCTAAATTAGCTGCACAGAAACTTTTATACAGGACAAAGCTTTCTGCTGATCAAGACTCACAGTGACAGAGCAAATAGCCATGCAGGAAACCAACTGGGGAAAATCATTGTTCTGAGGGATGTTTGTCTTGGTTTTTCTTTGTGTGTTCTGCCTTGGACTGCAGAACAGGGTTCAAGGAAAAGTAGGTCAAGAGGTTTTTACACTGAGACATTTGAGAATTCCCAAATACAGATGGAGGCAAAACAAAGGCACCTATTCTCAATTTATTTGCATTAAAATGTGTTCCTTGCTTGAAAATTGAACTTGGTGGAGAGGCATAACTTATCAGCAGTTTGTGCAGAAATCCTTACAATGAATAAACAGAGAAAGGTACGCATTGACTAAAATCCTGTAATTCTTGTTAGCATTGATTTCATTGAGCACAGAATCATGCAAAGGGATCTGATGCTCCAGTGAACTCCACTCAGTAAGGAAAGGGAATTTAGTGGTAATGTTGTGTGTAACCCTGGCCTCTACAGAGGCATACGAAGAATTGATTTCTGTAATGGCAGCAGAGAGGGCACTGAGCAGGAGGATAGCTGATGCAAGAATACAAGACATCAGCAGGCAACCTGGGCAGGGCTGTCAGAGACAAGAGAACATTTGGGTGATGGAGAGGAGAATAAGGGTTTAGGCAGGTAAAAGACATTATATTCATGAAGACAGGTAAAGGAGCAGAATGAACCGCACGGTCTGTACTATTAGACCAAAAGTCCATCCAGTCTAGATTCCTGCTTCCAAAATTTGCTAAAAAACATGTCTAGGATATTCTGCTCTCTTTGGGAAAGGATCCTTATTTAAGGTTCCAGAATACTCCATTTCCCCATACCTCTGCTTACAGCCACCATCTCCCCTTCTCCCTTGTCTGTGCTTAAAGCTGTTCTTTTCCTTTATCAGTTTCCTGAATAACTGGATTTATGTGTAAAACTGGCCAAAGACTCTGCCAAGAAAACCCAGCTCTGGCCTTTCTTTGCTAGTCTTATGAAAATCTAATGCCTTGCTTTGTTTGACATGACCTGTTTAAGAAACATAAACATAAAACAAATATCAAAAGACCAAGAATCTCAGGATATTGGTGAGACCAACTGTCAGAGTGTCAACCATGCAACTCCCCAGCTCCTATGAGGCGCTGACAGGTTATCAGGGCTGAGCTGAAGAAGCTGGGCCTTCATTTCAGACAGAAGTCAGAGAATTCTGCCAAAACAAAGGTAGGTTTCAAATGTGTAATTTTCAGTACTGGCAACCATCTTGTGAAGATATCCACATAAACCTTGCAATGCATTTCTACTGCAAACATTATATTTTTTAGAAAATTTTCTATCTCTGTCTCTTTTCTTGGCATTCTGGACAGGTTCTGAAAAATTTTACTTAAAAGGAATTTTTGTCAATACAACTGTTATAGCTTTCTTCCAAATAGATAAGAATAATGATTTTATGAAATGGCTCAGTAAGTGATATTATCTCAAGTTTTAACTGGTTTATCGATATTTCAATAGGAAAAGTTTCTCTCTATGCAATATTCTTTGAAGTTCTTCAGTAGCAAAACAATTTAATGGCTAAAATTTCTTATGAAATGACAGCTTTACCCCTATTCTTATTCTCTATTTTTTTTTTTTTTTTTTTATCCCTGACTTCTGAGTCTCTTTTATGAAGGTCTTTTCTCTTGTAGTCCAGTAACACTTCTCTAAATTCTAAAAGGGTGTTTAGGAACTTCAAAGACCTTGGGTTTGTTTTGTTCACCTAGAACCGGTCACTGCATTTCCACTTGTCCCTGATTTGCCATGGGAGATTCAGATAAAAGAACAACTTAATATATGCCCCTCTGAAAAAAAAACATGTGTACAGTCCCAGAAAAATAAAAGTCCTATCACCTTGCCACAGTCCTTTGTCCTCTTGCTGCTTCTCTCCATGTCAGCATAACCCCACAGGATTTCACCTACCTTGTCCTTCCTCTCTTGCACAAATGTACAAGAGTGGCACGAGACCAGTGTTGTACTGGCAACAAAATGAAAAGGTTATGTCAAACAGGAATTGATAGCAGAACTATGAGAAATGTCACCTGCAGAGACTGAGATTAATTTCTTGAACCCTAATCACCTCTTCCCCACTAACAAAATAAGCACGTTATGAGCAAGCTTCAAGTCTCGTCTTGCAGTTTGTAGTTCACATAAAAAACCAGTGATTTAATAATGATAAAGTTTCTGTCTTAAAATGACCTCCAAGTTATCAACCCCAAAGCACCTCCTTCTAATAATAGTGCCATTTCAATTATCATTATATACACACCATGTAAAATCAATTTAATTGTAGCAAAAACCTTTGGAAATACTTTGACCAGTGAAAGCTCTATACTGCTGAATACATTTACAGCAAAGAAATTGGTTATATAACCAATATATATATATAGTTTCATAAAAGCCGATTGCTACCTTATAGAACAAATAAGTATTGCTCAAAATCTTTACAAAAGTCCTTGGGATACTCTTTATGTTGCTGGCTGTAAAAGTCGCTTTCATATGAGATAGGTTGGACAAAAAAAATTAAAGCAGTGCTTACAAAATTCCTAGAGGAATTTTGCAAAAAGGGGTAAACAAGTACAATGCCTTCAAGAAAAATCAAAGATCTTTAGTGGGTTTTTTTAAGTCAACTTCTTACTGACATTGTTAGATTACAATGATGGCAAATAGCAGAAATATTTTAGTCTTATTTCTAGTCTTTCTGTATAATTATGACCAGTACAAAGCATTTTGTATCATAACAATCTTTCAGTTCTTAGTGATGAATAGAGCCATGCAATGTAATGCCTTGCTTGAAGAACATAATGGAAATTATTTCAGCAAAAAATAATGGTTCTATTAAATTCGTCATGTATAGAGACACAATGAAAATTAGCAGTTCAGGTCCTTCCTCTAGCTTAAATTTACTTTGTGCCTTTAGAAAAAAATACTTAAAGATACATTTAGTAAGGACACGAAAGCACAGGATTTTGGCCACAAGGCACATCCCCAGCCCAGGTGAAGTCTTGAAGCCCACAGTAAGAAATAGAGGGTCCTAATTGCAGGTTTGTACCCATGAGCCTCACATTCCTAATGTTGTACTGAATATACTGCCTATAGTGGTCAGTGGGAAATACCAGGCTTAGGACCAAAAATTCAGATGACTTTTACTATTTCTTAAATACCATGCACACTCTAGACTGATATTGAAAATATGGCATGCTGGGAAAGTAGAACTAATAAATACTGAGAACAGAATACATAGAATAACTGTGTCTTTCCAGAGAATGACTACTGGCATCCATCCAACCAAAAGGTCAGAATCTGCTTTTTAAGACAATAACAACTATTTTTTTAAAGAAATTAAGATAACTTTCCTTTTTCCCTCTTTTAAAGTGCAGGTTGCACTTACAAATAAATACACTTCTTTATGTCCTACCATTGACTTTTTTTTTTTTTTTTTAATTGTCTGGTAGTTGGTATGCTCATCCAGAAGGTAGAAAAGCCCTAACTCTAACCAACATCAGCACAGGTCTGAAGAGTGGAACTATTCTGCTCTTCCTCCTGCACCAGCAGCGCTGCCAGGCACTCTACACTGAACCAAGAAGAAAGACCCAGGGAGAGCTCACAGCTCTGGTACAGTATTTGCCCTCACCTAGGAGTTGGGTCCTACATTTCTCTCTCATCATGAGTTTTCTGTACAGGATGAATAAGCATATGTGTGTGTGAGAACAGAGTCCAAATTTCCTCCTCTGAAATTAATTTTCTAAAATCTGGTACACAAACAGGCTTTTCTTTGCGCTGTCTCCTCCCAACCTCCCAAATCTGGTATTCCTTCCTGCAAACTCCACCAGAAAGACAAGGGAAGTTTTGTCTCTTTTCCCACACTCCAACACTAGCCTCAGAGGAGAACACTCTCTGAAAAGGTGGGTGTTGTGTCCTTGGGCAGAGCTAAGGCTGGGAGGGACCTTTTCCTGGATGAACCACTTGAGTGGTACCTCTGTGGTCACCGGAAACCTTAAAAATCCTAAAGCATCCTAAAGTTCCATTGTGGTGGTAGATAGAGAGTTGTTGCTGGCACATATATTTGTGCTCAGAGCACACTCCTCAGAGTTTCAGGAACACATTGGTGTACAGGGAAACATGTCAGGTAACTACTAGAGTTTGCCATCAAACAAGGAGTCACAGCTAGGAAAGCTACATGGCAACCAGAGTCTGCTTGCTTATTCACCATGCTGGAACTTGACATTCAGTTCCTGTCCTATACTCCTCAGGACATTTTGAATTGAGTAGTTTGTTGTATCTTCACATGACTGAAAATTTAGGCAATGTTTCTGAAGATTTTCTGTCACCCCACCTATAAATTCAACTCTAGCTATACAGGCTGAGGAATCAGTAGAAAACCGGATGCTTTAGCAGCAGCAAACCTTCTAAACCCAAACATACCTGATTTTTTATGATTGGAAGGGACTTCATCAGCAGCTTAGTGAAACATTAGTTACAGAGATTCAGACTTTCATCCAAGGGAATGTGAGACAAAAGAAGACAGTTTAATCAAGAGGACTTAATAGGAAGGAAGATGGGAAAAAAGGTACATGGCAAATGATTAACAAGAGGCAGATTGGGTTCATCATACAACCAGACTTACATCCTTGCAAAAATGTGAGGCAAGAAAACTTCCAATGAAATGGAGAAAAAGTTTTCCAAGGATCTTTATCTAAAAATAAAAATAAAAACTACAATCATTCTTTTTCAAGGGAAAAAAAAAAAAAAAAGAAAGAAAATAATAGATCTGGAAGGCATTTTCATTGTTTCCTTATTGTTTTTCATGATGTTCCATCTATACTAGAAGAGGTGGCTTTGCAGGTATGAGATTCACTATTATTACATTCTTTCAGGGACCGCAGTAACTTCTTCAGAAATCACATCTGGACTCATTTTAATTATAGAGATAGCCCACTAAAAAGTTCATGTGTTATCTGTTGTTACTCAGATTTGCCTTACACTGTTTCCAACTACAATATCTACTAGTGGCCTATTGGTTTAATTTTTTTTTTTTCCCCTGTAAGACCTAAGGGATGAAGAGGAACTTCAGTGCAAAGAACAGATTTTAAAACAGTGAATCTAAATATCTAGAAAAGACATATAGATACTTTAAAAAATTCTGGTAAAAATAAAAATGTTTTATTTCCTGCATGAATACATTCAGACATGTTACAGAAATACATGCATACTTTTAATATTAGTTTGAATTTCTAGCCATGGATGATGGATATCCACCTGTAAATGCAGATCTTGTTTTTGGATGACAAGTTTGTATTGGGATCAAGAACATATATGTTTGATAACCTGGGCAATAAAAAAGTTTAGGGGTGCACTGAAAAAATAAGCCAAGCAGATAGATTGGAATGAATTTGGCTGCCCTAATAATTTCTGATTTAATATCTGCATCTTCATATGAAAATCAACATTTTGACCTTCATCCACTTCAAGCTATATAATCACCTGTTCAAAATCTCCTGTTTCTGCAGTCCTCCAAATGGTAAGGAAAAGTATGATATTGTAATAGCTATGATGGTGGCAGCACTTCTGGCTTTTTGCATGGTATTTAGTTAATCAGAGTCAATCTTCCTGTAATACACAAGATGGACTTGTACTCCCAGTCCTGCAGCACAGCAGGTCCATAATATGAATGTGTTAATGATAAAACTGATTCTCAGTCCGTATGTTTGCTCATGCATCACTCACCTTTATTCCTTTCATTCCGAGGCTTTTTTTTTTCCAAACCATTTTACAGTCTCTTCCCTTTTGTCTGGAACTGAGGTTCTCTGGGAGCTGGCTAGAACTGTGGGGGAAAATAAAAAGAGCTTTTTGGAATATCTTAATGGAAATAGGTAGAGTAAAAAATAACCTTGGCACATTACAGCAAAAGGATGGTCACCTCCCAAACAGGGACAATGACAGTGCAGAGGTGTTTAATGCGTTCTTTGCCTCTGACTTCAGTATGGATGACAGACCAAGGGGGTCTCAGCCCTGAGCTGGAAGACCATGACTGGGAGAATGATTGACTCCCAGTTGACCCTGGGATTGTGTGGGATCCAGCTGGATCCCTACAAATCTATGGGCCTTGATGGGATTCATCCAAAAATCTTCAAAAATCTGGCTGATGTTATCACAAAAGCTTGATTTTTGAGCAGTTTTTGAGAATCCAGAGAGGTCCCAGCCGACTGGAAGCTGACAAACATTGTCCTGGTTTTTAAGAAGGGCTCTTGCCAGGAGGATGCTGGAAACTACAGGCCTGTCAGTCTCACTTCAGTGCCTGGTGAGGTTTGGAGAAGATTATTCTGGCAAGTATTGAAAAACACCTGAAAGACAACTCAGTCATTAGTCTTTTCAACAACATTACTTTGACTTAGGCACATTTTCCTAAAACGTAAACAAATAAATAATACTTCTTCTTAAAGCCATATCACTACCCAATTTTCAAATACCTTAATCTTGAGATGAATGGTTGGGGTGAAGTGAGTCAGGAATTCATAAGAAAAACAAAGCCTACACATCACTCTGATTGTAAATACAGCTTTGCCTTAGTGCTGAAATAGAAAATAAAGGAAGGAAGATCACACACTGGAGACCAGAGCTGAGTTTTCTGAGGAGAAGGGTAAAATGCACTAAGATTTTATGATTACAAGATAGTGCAAAGTCTGGCAACTAGATGTAATAAAAGATGACAAGCCAGGAGATCTAGAAGAATAATATCCATCATTATGAAGTAAGTAGCAGGGGAAGCAGGAAAGCCTTTGGCAAATCTTACAAATATCTCATTGCAGACAGAGGAAGCACAAGAGGAACGGTGGATGCCTAATATTGTTCAAAAGTTTAAGAAGGATCAAAAGTATAAGTGTGATTTCCAACTATCAGATGGTTGCAGAAAGCACTTATGTGGGGTGCATTCCACATAAAATTTACAAATGTATTATTTGGCAAAAGACGGTTTATGATTCTGACTTAGAGTATATCATCTTCTACTGACCTCTCCCAAGCTAAACCAAAATAGCAAAATAGTGAAGAGTGAGGCAAAGAAGACAGAGTTCTTTTCTGAACAAAAGAAAGAAATGGCTTACACTGCAGTGCTTATTGTGCTCAGCTCTACAGTTTTTCAGTCGGTTTCAGCGAACTATTACATGTATACTTTTGAAATATTTTTAATGGCACAAAATTGAAAGAAATTTATAAAAGCCACTGCAAGAGAAGACAGATTAAAACTGACTAAAGATTCAGAATTCAGAAGAAAGAGACATTTTTGTTATTCAGAGAAAACCAGATAGAATTTAATGGAACTTCTGATAACTTTGCAGTTTTAAATATCCTGTAAAGCTGAACACAATGGAAAACACATTGAAAAAGTTCTGAGGGTGAAACACAAAGGAATCCCAGACATGACTCAAAATTTTTCATTTTATTGGAGATAAAAAAAAAAACATAAGGAGAAAAATCATCATTTTCCTACTTTACAATACACCTAACAGTAGTGCTCAATCTGATATTGTCATACACATAAAATTACTCAAATGCATCCAAAATGTAGGTGTGCAAGAGACAAATGCAAGAAGGCCTTAATTCAGGCAGATATGTTCTTCTAATGTTGTTCTCATAAAAAACTATGTAAAGCAGAAACTTAAATCAAATCTCAGTGGTATCTGAAGGAACAGAATTTCAAAAGCAGTAATACATCACCATTAATAGTCTCTTCTTGCTAGAAAACCTAGATATTGTCTACCAGCATATATGTTCACTCCAGTCACGAGGGATGACAGTAAAGTCAGCATTAAACATCTCTGACCACTCAGAAAAATGTATCACATTTAAAAGCTTTGAGTCATGAACTATCATTCCCTGTGTCCTAGCTGGCTCCAGTGCTATTTCTTTCATGGTATATTTCCTCATATAAAAATGGAACCATTAATGAAATTTATTACTCACTTTAGATCTCTAGACCTTATTGTGTTATTACTTTTCTTCCTGAAACACTCTAAAGGTTGAAACTCACTTTTCAGTACAACTCATTACTGAAAAGCTGGAGCTTCAGGTTGATAATATTTTTTGTTTGTTTGTTTTGCTTTGTTGGTTGGCTGATTTTTTTTTTTTTTGTTTTTGTCTTTGCATAACATGTATAGGTACAAATTGTCAGCTCCACGCAGGATTCTATTGTACATAATTTTCTAGCACAAAGATTCTCTAAAATTCTTTTCAAAACTTCCTTCACACCATGGTCCTGTAGGCTGCTGGCATCCAATGATCTTCCCTCCGTAGCCTTTACAACTCACCTAACTTTCTTGTATCAGTCTCGCAACAAAGCCAAACCAGGCTTCTACTTCTGTCTCATGTCAGAGCACTGCACTAGGGTACAAGAAATTACATCTCTTTCTCACATGCAAACATACATGTCTCTTAATCATCACAATCACCTAAGTTTTAACTTTTTCAAAATATTCAATTCTTTCTTATCATGCCTAAAGCAATTCAAAATTGAAAAATGTAAAATTTTCCTCATTTACTACTCTAATCTCAATATTCTTATTAAATAGTATGACATTTTCTATATATATGCAATCACCTTATGAGCTCTGATGTGCTGCAGGTACAAGTTCTGTACTTGTAATATGGGAAAACATTTTGAGTATATGCAGAGGATTATGGCTTGAGAATTACTGCCTGGAAATACTGGCTTACTTCTCACTCTCTCCTGCTTCTACAAACACAGAAGTCTGGAGTAATCATCTGAATGTGGTTCTGAATGCTGATCAGCCCCCACTTAAAGAATATATTTTCTTTAGTGATAAGACTTATTATAACTTAATTCTTCAGTAGCTTGGGGCCTATCTTCAAAGTAGCCATATATGGGGTGGGTTTTACCTTGTAAATTTAAAATTATAGGAATGACCTGCTTGTTTCAAGCTGAACAAAACCTGAGTGCTTAGACATTCTCTCAGATCTGCAAGGAGAACTTTCTTGTGATGAATGTGCCATTTTGCTTTTGGGGCAGCCCTTGTAGCAGTAGAGAGAGTTTCACATATAATGTGCCTAAATAGGAGATGGCAACTTAACACAAATCAAACTGGAAAACTTCATAACCCAAATGGTAAGCCTTAAACTTGCTCTATCGTGCTGTGTAAAGTTAAGAGTCACCAAAGGCATCAGGCTTTGCTCTACTGTACTGGAGTGAATATTATCTAATACATCAGATAAAATCTCATATCATTCTTTTCATTGCTGATGTCCCTGACAGTTTGGGCCATCAGAGAACATAACTCTTGCTACTGCAGTTGGATTGGATTCTACAGCCCAAACTTTCTCCAGTCTTGTTCATCACACCCAGTGTCATAGCATGTGAAAGTGCTAAATGTCTATCCAAATATCTCCCAGCACATCCAATTCTTCATCTGGACATTTTCAAGTCATTCAATATACAGATGAGAAAAATTGTTTCAGTGGTAGCTCAAATACTTCTTTAAAAAGTCTTTTAGCAATGTTAAATGAACAAATTGGAATGGAGTCTTAATAAAAAAGAAGAAAATACACATATATGGCAATGAAAATCAAACCTGTAAACAGCCCATGGCCAAAATCTCTGTGATGGAAACATAAGGAAAAAAAAAGTGTGCTCCAAAGAAAGAATACAGAAAACATTTACTGTGGCTCTGGGGAAGGAGATGTCCGTAACACTCACAAGAAAACAACCTGACATCATTCCAGGCTGCAGCTGATCCAGAACAGGAAGCCAGGAAAGCTTCAGTCTATTGTCTCATAATTTTTAAGCTTACTTTGAGACAAAATGAGGTGGTGTAGTTAGAAGATAAACTGCAAATTGAGATTAGAGGGACCCATGTTCCAATTCTGGCATTGTTTCTTCATCATTTCATCTGCTTCAGCTCACATCTCTGTGCCTTCAGTAAAATATAGATATTGAGTACCTTTGAAATCTGCTGATTAGAAGGGCTTTTTAAAAACAACAGGATTATTCTGCTAACTTTAACCTTTGCCTTGCATTTGTCTTACAGCTTCCCTTGACTGACAGCTTTTACTCTCAGCTGCCAGGAAATTTTGACCCTTCTCCTTGTAGCACACCCATTCTCTTGAGGACACTCCAAGCGCCTGCCAGCCTCCTTCCCTTGCAGCTCAGAAGAGTGAAGATACTCAAACATTCAATATTGCATGAAAACAAGTGCACAAGTCATGATGCAGCCAATTCCACATGGGGAAGAAAGGCACATTTTGGGAGGGGCCCTTCCAGCAATAACATTCAGAGGTTGTTAGTAATATGCCTTGGGTTGAAAACACAAGATTCCTTGAATTATTAAAGAGACCTGATACTTCTAAGCAGTAAGATGGGTGCAGAAAAGCAGTATGGACTACAACTTACTGATACCTGTTTGGAAATAGCATTTTTATTCCATTGGAGTCTAGATTTTTCTTATAATTATTTTCCTGACAGTCATTTATCAGTATCCTGGCAAATGACACTGGAAGTTTAGCATCCCACTTTCCATGGATTTGCATTGCAAAGGGGCACAGATTAGAAAAATAGGAAGGTCTTCGACTCTTCTCTCTTTCATTCAAAGGGAAGTGGCAATGCATCTAAAAAAGGGTTGATATTGCAAATGTCATAACACTTACCATAAAGAGGACAAATGAATGAGAACAGAAACTTAGCTTACCAGCTCCAGAAAAAATAAAAACCCACTGTTTCTTTCAAGTTCAACCATTCCAGAAGTCTTTCCACAAATCTGCTTGCCAGGCTCTATTAAGTTGTCTGGGCATAATGATTATGACATATTCTCCACCCTTATTCCTAGAGTTCAAAAATAAAAGTAATTAGAAATAATCTAAGACTGAAAGCCTTTAGAAGTCTATAGAAAATGCACAATGTTTTAATTAACATTTTTGAATTCTGATCACAAATCCTTTTCAAGGGTGATAAATCCCCATTTTATTAGTTTTGGTGACTTTATTTCAAAATGAATAGTGGACTTTAAATGCAGAACCAGATACCCAGCTTTCACTGGCTTTTACATGCTATTTCAGTAGCCTTTCTGGATGTGATATGTCCATTTCTGAAATGTTTATTCATAAGAGTAACCTTTAACCCTTACCCCAAGGTATTAATTTAATGAAACTGAACATCTGACTAGGACCATAGCCTAGCCAACTATGAAGAATTAAGTCTAAGCAGAGTTTGTTACCCAGATGATAAGGCCTGACTTCCTTTAGTGTTAAGAAGCTGAATTGTTCTTAACTCAGAAACTGACTTAAATTTAGATAAAACATGCTGGCAATTTTTGGCTGAATCAGATACTTTTCTGTTTCCTGTTTCAATCTCATATACATCTCTTCTTCTATAACAGAACCCTGCCAAATCCCTTCAACCATATGTTCCTTGAGCATTTCTTTACTTTAGGAAGTAACAGATGCCTGCCCTGGAGGGAAAAATCAATTTATTTCTGTAACTTGGTTCCAGTAATGTAACAGAGTTATTTTGTTTAAGGAAAGGGCAACCAACCCTGAAAGGATGCTTCTTTTACCTTTAAGAAATATTACATAAATGGTTTGCACTGAATAATTTATGAGCTTATACAGAAGAGTTATTCAAAATAGCTCAAACTGTACATTCATCATAACCTTTTTCTTCAGCTTTCCACTAATTAATGCCTCTGAAAATTCCTAATTTTAAGTTTCAGGAAACATGCATGTTTGGAAAAGTATCTCATTTTATGTTTGCAATGAAATATACATGAACCATTTTATGAATTTTAATGAATCTTTATTAACTTTGGTCAGTTAACATTATTCATTAACAATTCATAAACACTTCAACCTACCCCTGTTATGCAGCATTATGAACTCTTATGAGACTGTTTGATACAAAACAGTCGTGCTAACAATTTTGAAATAGAGTGGAAAAAAATCAAAGAGCTTCTTCATATGCCAACAATGTACTTTTCCCAAATTAAAATTTCAACAGGTTCATAGATACTATTCAAGTGGGTCTGCAAGGATCTAGTCATGTCTGTCTTTGGACCCCAGACAGTGCTACTATGTCAGCCTGGAACATATCCCATCTAGGGGTTACTGAATTCACCTAAACTAGGCCCACTGTAAAATGCAACATGAGATTATGGTTCAATTATGTTCATTTGTTCATACTGGAAAAAGTAATTTTCTGCATATCACTTAATGGGATTGGATTTTTCTGGGTAAGAGTGTTGAGATTTGACTTCTAAAAGTATTTACAAAAGGAGTAAAGGTTAAAAAAAGGAAAATTATTCTTCATATATACTAGGTGTGCCTAAATTTTGCAGTCACAACCAACTCAGCCTTTGGAAGCTCTTTGTATGGTTTTCTGGAAAACTGGCTGTATCCATGCCCTTTTTATGCTTTTGTTATAGCTACTTCCCCAGCACTTGCAGAAGTCCAACATGACTACTTTTTCCCTATGGAAGAGCAAAGCTCCTAAAGATTACTCATAAAGCAGGTACACATGCTGTGCATATGAACCAAATTTTCCTACAGCTAAATGTTAAAGACCTGAGCTGCTAGACTGCCATTTCCCAAAGAGGAAAGGGCCAGCCTGACTCAGGCATGTGGCTGGGAATTTATCCTGAGCAGCAACAAACACAGCTCTGTGGGTGGGAGCTGTGTCTCAGCCACCAAGGGCTCTCATTATGCTCTAGCTAACTTTCCTCTTCTCTCAGTGACTGGGATTTTCTGAACACCATTACTAAGGGTCTAATTAACATCAGGTGTTTCAGGGATATGACTTTCATTGCTCACCTGCATCAGGCACTGGAACGCAAAACACTGACCTTGATGGGTTTCTACCTGTACATTACTAACCCAATTTGATGGATGAATCTGCTGCAGATGGATTTATGGCCAAATGCCCAGCTGCCCAAATTCTCCCTGTGATGCTTCTCTAGACCAGAAAAGCACACACCAAACAGGAGCAGCTGAGCTATGCACTGCCTGTGAAATCTGTCACAGCAAGGAATTTCACCAAACCATTTTTATTGTCAGAGGTGAAAGAAATTGGGAGAAAGTGGCTTTGTGCTGATAAGTGCACATGAAGTATACAAGAAAATACAATTTGTTGAGGATGCAGGTAGATGAAAAACATCCCCATTGACAGAATGAGTTCTGTGGGCACTTTTTACTTTTTGTCAGGCCTCTCAATCTGATTGATCAATAACGTGCATGTTTTAAACTACTCCAATCCATTCCATACTCAACATTTTAAAATCAATTCTTCGGTGTTTTCCTTAGACAACACGCCACAATTCACTCTCCTGTGCCTAATCCATCCACAAAACGCATTTTGTCAAACTATTCAATTCTCTCCCTTGAATGAAGCACATTCCATCAAACCAAGCAGTCTTACAACAGAATGAATTCTGTCTAATGTAATAAGCAGTGTATGAAAAGAGGCATTTAATCTAATATATACGTTTAACAAAGGGAATCATTCCTTGTTTGGCAAGACATATTTTAAACTCTCTATGAATTTTAAAATATTGCACCAATGTAAATCGACAAATGAATCCTACACAGATTTTGAACAGAGCAACTGTTGTATACAAAATCTTTCTAAAAACCTTCCCTCTTTAGAAAATTTGGAAACAGGAATGGTGGATGTTAACTAGCTTCATGCTTTGTAAACTTGAATGAAACTGCTGAAAAATTGATCTGGTTTTTACTCTTAAAAGGTTTATAGTGATTAGCTGTTACAGAGGGAACTGAGCTGTGATACTATACTGACAACTCCTTTAAATATGCTTCTCACATTCACACTGGTTATTACTGGGTAATGAAAATCTCTTTATTCCCTCCTAAAATCCCAGAAACCAAGCCCAGTTCTTTTCAAAAGAATGAAAATGAAATACGACCTTAAAGACACGCATTAACATTCCTGACATCTGGTCCACTTGTCTGATTTTGCTTTATGCCAGTGATGTTCCAGGGACTGCAATGAACATTGAAATTGCAACTGACATGTCATTTGTACTCTTCCTCTTTCTGCCATGTGAATAATTCTTACCAGAGCTTTTCTGTGTGAAAAGTCTGGGCAGGAAATATATGTACATGTACTGCTTGGGTTAAAGGTTTTAGCAGGTAAAGCTTCATATGACTGCATTACTTCATCATTACTATCACAAGTTATTGTAAAAAAGGATATGAAAACTGTTTATCCTAACACTCTATATTACTTACTTCACAATATATGTCACATTTTACATTACCATAACTATTTCAAGTATTATAATTTAGGCTGAACTTCTATTCTTGTAATGTTTTTCTGAAACATTATATTTGGGCTATTATTTGGACTTATACTTGCCCAAAAACAAGAAAATAATCAGACTCCCTTATAAGACCTAAGACATTGAAGGCTTATAACCTTTACCAGAACAGGGTTTCATATGTGGTCATGGAGGTGACCCACTAAAAGCACAATTGGTGCCAAAAACCTAACTGATTGGTGACAAAAACCTAACACCTCAGAAAGAAAACAAGTGCAATGCTGAGGGTGAAGCAGCAGAAAATCATCTGACTGAGCACTGGAAAATGACCTTGAGAAAAACTGTGGGGGAATTCCAGAGATGAGCAGTGTCTGAAAAGGAGGTGGCAACTATAGAAAAATATACTTGCCTGTGAGAAATCTGATTAGGAAAACAGATTTCTGCGGTCTTGATAAAAATGAATATTTGTTTTCTCCTCTTATTCAACTATATGGCCCTGAGTTTTTGCTAAAAACCTCAACATAAAAATGTGACTTCTATAATTCCATTTTTCTTGAGAATAAACCAAGAAATATTCTCCCACATACCACCTGCAAACCCAGCTGAATTAATTACTCTGACTAACTACACATCTGGCAAAACCCAGCATGCTTTCCCCAGTAAAAGCCAAGAGATATTTCTAAAAGGTGATATTGAATACCTTTTCACAGCAAACAGCAAATCAGACCACGTATGCATATTTATGTATATACATGTATGTATTTGCAGGGGAAGTACTTGATATTATAACATTATTCATACCTTAAAACAAACAATGAAATCTTGGCTACATTTTAAGGCGAGAGAAAAACAGTCAGAGAACAAGTAAGGCACACGGAGTTTGTGAGGCACAAAGGAAACAGCAGAGCATCCTTGTGAGCAGGTGCAGGCACTAGGAGCCTGATGCTGGCATTTGGAAATGCAGGAGATGGTGTGCAATGCTGTGATTGCAGTCACTGCCTTCAGAAGCCCCACTGGAGGACCCAGGACTCACCAAGATCCATGCATCCCATGGAGCTCTATTTGCCTCTCTGCAGGATCAGCTCCCTTTTATGCATATGTTTCACACAGACGTGCTGAAATAAAATGGTCACTTCACCTACCTGATACTTAGCTAACTCAAGAGATGGTCAGAAAGTTTAATTCAGGATGTACTTTGAAAACCCAGGATGAAATATGTGCTCTCTTATGAGTGCAGTGAACTACCCTCCCTCTACCCTTTAACAGAAAGCTGTGTTGAAAAGCTCTTCACCGCACAAATGAATTTCAATTGCTGACAAATACATGAAAATTAGTGCTTCACCAATTGTATTTGCCATATTTTCAGCTTGCAGATTTTTGCATGCCAAAGTCTCTTCAACATAAACACAGAAAGGGAACCAAAGATCAGAAGATCACATAAAAATGGAAGTTCTTTGATTTTCCTAAATAGAATTTTAAAAAGAAATACTTAAAAAAAATGAAAGAAAGGAATATAAGGATATGCTCACCCTAGTCAAAAAGATGTTTAAAAGATGTTT